GTGAAACTGCTTTTAATGATAATGTTGATCAAGAGACATGGGAAACAATCATTTTACGATTTTCTTAATAAGAATAAGACGACATCTTCTACAATGTTATACTGATTGATCTCTGCATATGTATGATGATGTATGTCCACTTTCGGAAGTTTCTTGTATAAATTAATTGTATACACAGATAAATGAATGTTCTTATGTAAATTGTAGCTTTAGGAAATCATCTTGATTAATATAATTGTATATACATCTATATCAATTTTGTAACTTTGCCCCCCTTCTTGTATATATATGTTTATTATATAGGTAGTATTTTTCCTGTACCACAATTGGTCAAAATACCGTCACATGATTGACTACAAAACACGATATTGACTTGAAATTTCTGATAAATTACGATATTGACTTGGGTTACTAAAAATAGACAAGGAATCCCGTACGAAGGGGCTTCCCCCGCTTTTCAGCCAATCAGATCACTCGGATAGATGGCACAGTGTGTGCATTAAAAGTTTATGTTAAAACCCGTTTCTCTTTCATTATATAATAAAACAATTATAGACTCTTGTAAGATAGGTCGATATCGGTTTTTATTGACCTGAGAAAAACAATATCGACCTCGCAAGCTCGGTCGATATTGTTTTACTCAGGTCAATAAAAACCGATATCGACCTCTACAAGAGTCTATAATTGTATAATATAATAGGTTTGATCTTCGGATGATCGTCTGGAGGAAATAAAGACTCTCTCTCTCTGTGTTATGGTAGCACTCAGTCCCCCTGATGCACACACAATCATGCACACATACACACACAGGCACGCACACACACACGCGCGCGCACATACACCCAAGCTGTCCGGGCGTCTAACACTCAGAGAAGGGCACCCAGTCACCAGTACAGAAAGTCAGCAATCTTTCCCACTCAGACTCAGCGCCTTCCATAAACATTGCAGTCAGACAAGTAGATGTCTAGATCACTTACTTTGTGTACCCCCCTGACAAGTGTAAATTGACGTTTCATACTTAGTACATATAATAACTTGGAATAGATCCAAGCTAGGCGTGTCAATAGAACCGACAAATTTGTTTTGTCGTATTTACCAACTCATGACACTATTGAATGACTCAACCTTAGGTTAACACGAGACCCCACACAGTCTAGCTATGTATAGAAACTAATGTGTACATGCTGCGATAATTTAATTACATATGTATAAACAACAAGATGCTAATTATTAGATGAGACTGCTGTGATTTCCCATCGACCTAGTGTATTATTACTTTAATGTCAATATACTCAGTCTAATTACAGGTTTGTTTTGTTTGTTGTTTAACACCGCACTCACCAGGCTTACTTTTTGAATGTTAATTCCCCATGTTTGGCTTGTTTAATATAGTTAGCACTTAAACACCTTAATCGTTGTTTAAGTTGATTGGTTTGTTGTTTAACACCGCACTCACCAGGCTTACTTTTTGAATGTTAATTCCCCATGTTTGGCTTGTTTAATATAGTTAGAACTTAAAGACCTCCTCTCTCTCTCTCTCTCTCTCTCTCTCTCTCTCTCTCTCTCTCTCTCTCTCTCTCTCTCTCTCTCTCTCTCTATCTCTCTCTATCTCTCTATATCTCTCTCTCTCTCTCTCTCTCTCTCTATATATATATATATATATATATCCATCCATGACATTAAGACGCGTAGGCGCATTTATACCCTTAAAAACGAACTGAACTTACAATTCTAGTTCATGAAATACAGTCACATCTATACTTGTCTTCTGTTCACCCTTCAAATGGTTTCTGATTTTATGAGGCGGGAAGGGCATTTTTTAAATAACGTCAAACTCTTGCTTTCCTGCCTTTATTGACCCACTTTCAAAAGTATTTCAACACTGTACATAAGCTTCGTGGTTCCAGCGAAATAAATGGTTTTCCAACTTTTCTGCATTTTTCAAGACTTGATGCAAAACGTCTTACATATCTTGAAGGACGTCACATTCACTGACATCGTAAACAGTCAACTTTTGTAATGTACGAGACTAGAGCTGACATCTCCAGGTCTGGTAGTTGGAAACTTTCCCACTCTCGGAGAGTTTGGTGATTGGAGTATGTTATTTTGAGTATTATATATCAAAATGAAAGGTCGTGTATTTTCTAAGGGTGATTGATTGTATGTAATCTCCAATGCACCGATTTAACACAAGCTGTTGGTTATGGTGAGAAAACCAAGTTCCCCTAATTACTTAGAAAAAAAATATCAGACAAATTACAGTTTGCCATCTTTTCATTTTGTATTAAGTAATAAATTCAGGGCCAACTATTTGGTACTTAGGAGCGGTGGGGAATCCCAGTGGCCAATTGTTCGCTCGTCACGTGGAGGACCCGTGTTTAATTCCCAACAATTTGTAAAACCCTTTTCTGGTGTACCCCGCCGTGATATTGCTGGAATATTGCTAAAACGAAACTCAAACATTTGGTAATCACGTCTGGAAATACAATGTTCCTGTTTCCACTGCTCGTGTTTCATGTTTGACAATTCATATGTATGTAAGTCACGGAGGTTCGCTTTCCTAATACATCAAAGTCCATCTATTCCTGAATTTATATTCAGACACTTGACCTTTAATGTCGCTTTCAATTCTCCAATTCCCTTGGCTCGATATTTTCAATTTCATTTTCTAAAGTCAAATGTTTTCCATGGTAAACCAGAACCCCCGAACCATTTTCCTGTACAATGGACATGTTTATGACGTGGGGAGCATAGCTGTCTTACTTCGAACACACTGATATATGCACTTCCCGCTGCGGCTGTCGAAGTTAACGAATTGTAGGATTGATACATTTCCAAGCGTCTAAATCAGGTTGGAACATGTCCAATTCTACATCTTGTCTCCAACATGATTTAATAATGGACAAGATAAAACAATGTTTGAATTTAAGCAAAGTCAGCGGAATCCGACCTGGTTCGAGATGTGCATAATGAAGACGTCAAAAACTTTTAATGGTTCCCTTCACTCGAGTGTCTGTCTCTGTGCTTGCTGAGTTACAAATATTTACATTGATGAGGATGCTCATAAACGGAGGGGGGAGGTGGGGTAGCCTAGTGGTTAAAGCGTTCGCTCGTCACGCCAAAGGCCCGTGTTTGATTCCCCACATAAAGCCCATTTCTGGTGTCCCCCGCCGTGATATTGATACAACCATCCTCACTCACTCACTCACTCATAAACGGAGGTTTAAATAGGTTTTAAGCCTATATACATGCACCTACGTGTATCAGTCTTTGGACAGTAGGTAGTTTACTACTGGCCAATTTAGACGTAAGTGAAGGTCAAACCCACGATTCGTTTTGCTTAAGAAACATCTACCGACCCTGACAAGTCTCAACCAACCTCTGCCAACATCCACGAACATATTTTGAAACCATGATGATATTTTGCAAGGGTGGCAATTCAGTTAGTTACACAGGCAGCTGTGTTCTTTAGGCTGTGTATTTATGTTCATGTACCTGCAAACGTAAAAGCATAACACCAGGTGTTCGCGAAAGAAGGAGCAGGTCATGCATCAGCAACCATCATGAGTGAAGGCGCTCAGTTGATCATTTAACAGTATACGTATAATCAATTAAATTCGCAGAATAAGACAAATATTCGACTTCAGGTACATTTAGGCTAAACAGTATGTAGTGTAGGTAAATAACATTAGTCAGGGCCAGGAAACCGCTATGGTAGAACCGCAGGGCAACCGTTTCCCGACATCTGAAGATGCTTTGGTGCGCAGTCTTGAAATCTCAAAACAACCTTTGCGCTGATGAAAAACGCAAGTGTTTCAGTCGTTAGCACCTGTGTTACTTCTTCAGATGACAAGTTGTTTTGTTATTCTTCATGTTATTGCTCAGCTATTTAAAACAGTGACGCAAGGAAAAGATCAGGAACAAAAGAAACCCAATACGCTGGATACAGAGCAAGTTGGGTCTAACTCTCCATCTTAAGAAAGGTATTCCGGAGCTACGAGACAGATGCCAGGTATTTCCTACTTGTGTCGAGATATCACTCATTTGTAACACACCTGCAAACGAGCAGCACACGAAACTGGAGAATTTCTTTCTCATGCTTTATCTGATGTTGGTTAAAAAGTCAAAGTAAATTATCTGAGGCGTTCTATCTTGGAAGGTTGAAATGAGTTAGTAAAGATGATTGCATGATAGTAGATAGGTACTTGACATGCATGTTGGAATATACTTTACCTTGCGCTTTTAAATTTAGCATTGCAATTGATGGGAATAGCAGTACTGTTAACTGTGTCGGGAAGTTCGTACCAGACTTGTGAACAATGACGTATTTAAGAGACAGGAACATCTCGGAGATGCAGACTTATGTATAGTTTCTCATACAGTTTCTGGGTTCGATTCCTCATATGGGTACAATGTGTGAAGCCCGTTTCTGGTGTCCCCAACTGTGATATTAATGCAATATTGCTGAAGCCGGCGTAAAACTGAATTCCCTCACTCGCTCTATGTATATTGGGTAGCCCAGTCATCTGAGGCTTTGTGCAGAGTTGCATCCCTTAGGTACGCAAGTACCTATGTTCATTGGTTCGAGACCCTGTTCCATAGATTATGATTTTAGGTGTGTCAGATTCACACCCGTGCCTGTGGGTTTCACGGAACTGGTAAATCTCAGAGAACTGCATCACTCCCCTCTTACATTCGGCTGACTCAGTATGTTCACTGGAATACCATTCTAAAGTCGTCGTTAAACACCACTCATTCACTCACTCACTCAAAAGAACATAGGATAATCACTTCATCCATGACATAAAAACGTGTAGGCGCATTTCAACCTTTAAAAACGAACTGAACTTACAATTCTAGTTTATGAAATATAGTCACGTCCATACTTGTGTTTATCCTTCAAATGGTTTCTGATTTTAGGAGGCGAGAAGGGCTTTTTTTAAATAACGTCAAACTCTTGCTTTCCTGCCTTTATTGGTCCACTTTGAAAGTATTTCAACACTGACATAAGCCCCGTGGTTCCAACGGAAAAAAAAGAATAGTTTTCCAACTTTTCTGCATTTTTCAAGAGTTGAGTCGGTTGCCCTGTAGCAGGAATAACGCAAAACATCTTACATATCTTGAAGGACGTCACATTCACTGACATCGTAAACAGTCACGCGATGTTTTGTTGTCAGCAGCTTCTGTAATGTACGAGACTAGAGCTGACATCTCCAGGTCTTGTAGTTGGAAAGTTTCCCACTCTCAGAGAGTTTGGTGATTGGAGTATGCTATTTTGAATACCATATATCAAAATGAAAGGTCGTATATTTTTAAGGGTGCTTGATTGTCTATAATCTCCAATGCAGCGATATAACACTAGCTGTGTTATTGGTTATGGTGAGAAAACCAAGTTCCCCCAATTACTTTACATTCGCGAACAGAAAAACAATGTCAGACAAATTACAGTTTGCCATCTTTTCATTTTGTATTAAATAATAAATTTAGGACCAGCTATTTGGTACTTAGGAGCGGTGGGGCATCCCAGTGGCCAATTGTTCGCTCGTCACGTGGAGGACCCGTGTTCAATTCCCAACAATTTGTAAAACCCTTTTCTGGTGTACCCCGCCGTGATATTGCTGGAATATTGCTAAAACGAAACTCAAACATTTGGTAATCACGTCTGGAAAATACAATGTTCCTGTTTCCACTGCTCGTGTTTCATGTTTGACAATTCATATGTATGTAAGTCACGGAGGTTCGCTTTCCTAATACATCAAAGTCCATCTATTCCTGAATTTATATTCAGACACTTGACCTTTAATGTCGCTTTCAATTCTCCAATTCCCTTGGCTCGATATTTTCAATTTCATTTTCTAAAGTCAAATGTTTTCCATGGTAAACCAGAATCCCCGAACTATTTTCCTGTATAATGGAAATGTTTATGACGTGGGGAGCATAGCTGTCTTACTTCGAACACACTGATATATGCACTTCCCGCTGCGGCTGTCGAAGTTAACGAATTGTAGGATTGATACATTTCCAAAACGTACTTCTTGGCGTCTAAATCAGGTTGGAACATGTCCAATTCAACATCTTGTCTCCAACATGATTTAATAATGGACAAGATAAAACAATGTTTGAATTTAAGCAAAGTCAGCGGAATCCGACCTGGTTCGAGATGTGCATAATGAAGACGTCAAAAACTTTTAATGGTTCCCTTCACTCGAGTGTCTGTCTCTGTGCTTGCTGAGTTACAAATATTTTCATTGATGAGGATGCTCATAAACGGAGGGGGGGGGGGTAGCCTAGTGGTTAAAGCGTTCGCTCGTCACGCCAAAGGCCCGTGTTTGATTCCCCACATAAAGCCCATTTCTGGTGTCCCCCGCCGTGATATTGATACAACCATCCTCACTCACTCACTCACTCATAAACGGAGGTTTGAAAAGGTTTTAAGCCTATATACATGCACCTACGTGTATCAGTCTTTGGACAGTAGGTAGTTTACTACTGAGCCAATTTAGACGTAAGTGAAGGTCAAACCCACGATACTTTTTGCTTAAGAAACATCTACCGACCCTGACAAGTCTCAGCCAACCTCTGTCAACATCCACGAACATATTTTGAAACGATGATGATATTTTGCAAGGGTGGCAATTCAGTTAGTTACACAGGCAGCTGCGTCCTTTAGGTTGTGTATTTATGTTCATGTACCTGCAAACGTAAAAGCATAACACCAGGTGTTCGCGAAAGAAGGAGCAGGTCATGCATCAGCAACCATCATGACTGAAGGCGCTCAATTGATCCTTTAACGGTATACCTATAATCAATTAAATTCGCAAAGTGAGACAGTTTTCCGACTTCAGGTACATTTAAGCTAATCAGTATGTAGTGTAGGTAAATAACATTAGTCAGGGCCAGGAAACCGCTATGGTAGAACCGCCAAGGCAACCGTTTCTCGTCATCTGAAGATGCTTTGGTGCGCAGTCTTGAAATCTCAAAACAACCTTTGCGCTGATGAAACGCAAGTGTTTCAGTCGTTAGCACCTGTGTTACTTCTTCAGATGACAAGTTGTTTTGTTATTCTTCATGTTATTGCTCAGCTATTTAAAACAGTGACGCAAGGAAAAGATCAGGAACAAAAGAAACCCAATACGCTGGATACAGAGCAAGTTGGGTCTAACTCTCCATCTTAAGAAAGGTATTCCGGAGCTACGAGACAGACGCCAGGCATTTCCTACTTGTGTCGAGATATCACTCATTTGTAACACACCTGCAAACGAGCAGCACACGAAACTGGAGAATTTCTTTCTCATGCTTTATCTGATGTTGGTTAAAAAGTCAAAGTAAATTATCTGAGGCGTTCTATCTTGGAAGGTTGAAATGAGTTAGTAAAGATGATTGCATGATAGTAGATAGGTACTTGACATGCTTCTTAGAATATACTTTACCCGCCACTTTGGCATTAACAGTTATGGAAATAGCAGTATTCTTTACTAAGTAGGGCAGTTTGTACCAGACTTGTAAAAAATGACGTAATAAGAGACAGAAACATCCCAAAGATTCAGTCCCAGTTATATTTTCTCACACTGTTTCTAGTTCATTTCCGTGAATGTATGAATTATTTTTTCATGTGTGCTGGGAATATTTCACACGAGCATAGATATATAGACTCCTTGGGCGAGTGAGTCAATGAGTTGATTAACTGCCGTTTTGAAAAGCATTCCATGTAAACACTACTTATTGTGGGGTAATGCTTAAGTGATACAGGTCTAAGACCTCTTAGACGTTGGGTATGGTGCTGACACACCTAAAACCTACATATGGCGATCTTGGATTCGAACTCACGAAGGTTTCTGATGTGGGTGAAGGTGTATAAGTTCATTCAGGCTCTGGGTGTTATTGTTTTATACACATCTTCCCCGAGCTTGTTTCGAGTTTGCGTCAAGCCGAGTCTTAATGGATTAGAATGTGTGTAGAAACAATGTCATAAATAATTTGTAACCAGCGTAATTATGCATGCATAATGCTTTACCATTGGCGAACACCCGGTATCATTACAATTTCCATTCATAAAATGTTCACAGTCTTTTTCCCTTTATACCAAAAGGCAATTATTTCTTTCTGAATATAGTCCACAATGGGTATTCTTCTGCCCTGGCATTTCATATTGACGCATATTCTATACGTGAGTGCGCCTAAAAGAGATCGAAAACAAAACAAAAAACTCTATTTTGCATTGTGGTGCATTTACCTTTTGGTTATTGAGTATTAAACTACAAACATTACATGCAATGGTGCATGTACATGCACACTGTCACGAATGCATGGTTTCGTTTAATGATGTGTGAATAGTATTGTACATTTATTTTATTTTCCTCTCACAGATATATAAACATTGATGTATGTTACACTTGACGGTCCGTGTTAGAATTGATCTTCAGCAACCCATGCTTGTAATAACAGGATACCAACGGGATCGGGCTGTCAGAGACGCAGAGAGAGAGAGAGAGAGAGAGAGAGAGAGAGAGGGTGGGAGAGAGAGAGAGAGAGAGAGGGAGGGAGAGAGAGAGAGAGAGAGAGAGAGAGAGAGAGAGAGAGAGAGAGAGAGAGAGAGAGAGAGAGAGAGAGAGAGAGAGGGAGGAGGTCTTTAAGTGCTAACTATATTAAACAAGCCAAACATGGGGAATTAACATTCAAAAAGTAAGCCTGGTGAGTGCGGTGTTAAACAACAAACAAAACAAACCTGTAATTAGACTGAGTATATTGACATTAAAGTAATAATACACTAGGTCGATGGGAAATCACAGCAGTCTCATCTAATAATTAGCATCTTGTTGTATATACATATATAATTAAATTATCGCAGCATGTACACATTAGTTTCTATACATAGCTAGACTGTGTGGGGTCTCGTGTTAACCTAAGGTTGAGTCATTCAATAGTGTCATGAGTTGGTAAATACGACAAAACAAATTTGTCGGTTCTATTGACACGCCTAGCTTGGATCTATTCCAAGTTATTATATGTACTAAGTATGAAACGTCAATTTACACTTGTCAGGGGGGTACACAAAGTAAGTGATCAAGACATCTACTTGTCTGACTGCAGTGTTTATGGAAGGCGCTGAGTCTGAGTGGGAAAGATTGCTGACATTCTGTACTGGTGACTGGGTGCCCTTCTCTGAGTGTTAGACGCCCGGGCAGCTTGGGTGTATGTGTGCGCGCGCGCGCGTGTGTGTGTGTGTGCGTGCGTGCCTGTGTGTGCATGATTGTGTGTGCATCAGGGGGACTGAGTGCTACCATAACACAGTTTAACATGAACCACAATTGTAGACTCATTAAACAGACTCCAAGCCGGACATCATTCCACGTTTTATCGCCTAATGCCGGGCGCCAGGTAGCATATAAACAATTACCTTCATTTAACGTTTCTTAGTATGACGCCCTAAGAAGTAAACAACCGACCTCCCGTTCTCTAGTGCTTTATCCACTATACCAACGTGGTTCACAGTTCATGTACTTATTTACAGTTGTAACGAAGGTAACGTTGAGAAATAGCACGAATATTCATTAGCTTACTTAAACACACACGGTTGAAAATAAATCAGGTTACCCGTTTTAAGAATAACGAGGAAAAACTACCTGACTCATGCGTGAAATAGCCGAGACATCAAACGTATTAGTTATCCAGATGACGGACGAGTTTATTGCATGTTCATCGGAGAGAGTTTGGTGTATTTTACGATCCGGGTTGTATTTGCAGGAGGTACGTGGATGTGTATATCCTGTTCGTTGACAGAAACACTTCAAGGGCTATCACAGAGTCAATATAACTGTTCCAAGCTTCATGGCAATGTTTTCCCACCTGTTGGGTTGTTGAACACAGGTGTTGGGAAGCCCTTCTCTGTACAAACAGGCTGTCTAAACATCTTGTGGAGACGAGAGCGTTTGTAACTGCGATCCCTCCGAGCTGTTACAACACAACTCTGTCTCATGAAGTGATAGCTGTGGTCGATATTTTTAATCAAT